TTGGTGTATTATTGGTGCAATGCTGCTATCTGGACACGGTGTGACTATTTGACTTGCAATGTGATGGTGTGATCTGGGATTGTCATCTCGCTGTTGCTTATTTTCCTTGCAGAAAAGAAAAAACGAAAAAAAACGAGAAAAAAAAAGGAAGACTGCGTGCGTCTTATTTGATCTAGTCAGTTGTACTTGCATGGCGAGGTCCCAGTAGCGAAGTGGATTGGACTAACCGCCTGAATCTGGATGTATTATATGCAGAGATGCAGAAAAGAAAATTTGATCAATTGCATTTTCTGCAGGGGATTGGACTAACCGCCTGAATCTGGATGTATTATATTCACAGATGCAGAAAAGAAAAGTAGATCAATTGCATTTTCTGCACCTCTGCACAAACACGACCAGATTCAGGCGCTCAATCCAATCTCTTTGCTAGTGGGACCTCGGCGCTGCTGGAGGTGAATCAGGTGATGCTCATCCTTCTTTTTCTTTTTTTTTTGTTTTGTTTGTTAAGGTGATACTCCCTAACACACAGGGGGCTTTGAATAACGAACCGAAATCGTGGACGTAGGGCGTAGCTCGACTACATACCAAATGTGCAAAATGAGAATGAATCTTCCGCTAGAACATGGAAAGATTCACTGCCATATTGTTTTGTCTTTTGTGCATGTTGTGAGTAGTGGAGAGAGGCCCATAAGACATATGCTTTTTTTTGTTTGTTTTCTTTTGCTATTTTTTTTTCTTTCCCGTTTTATTGTCGGTTCTGATTTTTTTTTCTTTTCTTTTTTTACCGCTTGATTCTATTTTCTCTCTCTCTCTCTCTTTTTTTTTTTGCTTGTTTTTATATTGCCCGTCTGATTTTCTCATCATTAAGATTCAAAATCTCGAACTCTCGATCTGTTTACTGACTAACAAACAACACAGTTATATGTTCTTAACCTGCTGCCACATGGGCTTCGAAAAGCAACAGAAACAGTTCACGAGGATTAAAATTTCCAATTGTTTTTTTTTTTTTTTTTTTTTTTTTTTTTTCACGTGCTCTCTCCACATAATTTCCATTTCTATCTCCACATGGGCGGGCGGTAGGCTGTTGTACTTGGTAAAGAGAATATAAAGGGAGAAATGGAAATGGAGTCAGTATGAAATCAGGCCATGCCCTCCTTCGTTCATGCTATCTGACGTCTGACTGGCCTGTTAATGTGTCTCTCTTGTCGTTTCTGTTCCTCTCTTGAAGCAGAGCTGCATGGTCGAATGGAGGGCGCCATCATCAGCAGAGAGCAGTACTGCTGGATAGACACGTGTTTGTGTGTATGCTACCCCTTCTTGAGTCCCTGTTTTTGACTGCTGTCATCTCGGTTTTGATTTGTCCCAAAATAGCTGAAGTGATTGATTGGGTACGCCTCGAGGTCGTTGCAGACACACACACACACACACACACACACACACACACACACACACACACAGAGGGAGAGAGAGAGAGAGAGAGAGAGAGAGAGAGAGA